GGTGGCCGGGAAGGGTCCAATCTACGCAAGGAAATTCTGAAAAGTCTAAGTTGAATGTCTTTAAAAAATTGATTCGAGTCCCTCAAGTGAAAGAGTAAATAAGAGGCTAGAAAATGATAGTCATATGGTAGCTTATATTTGAGAAAATATTTTGGTTTCTTCTCTAAACAAGAAGATACTAAAAGCCTTGAGAAAACCACAGAAACACTTAAGGGCATCCAAGGTTCAAATGTCAAGTAAAATAAAACGTAGCTGGACCCTGAGCAATGGCTGAGTTTGGAAGAAAAGGGGATTTATCTGCTCTGACCCCAGAAGCCATGGCCGGGAGGTAGTGGGCAGTAGAACCGGAGGGAGAAAATGAATCCCATTTAGTCAAAATGCGGCTAATGCATCTTCTCACCGAAGGGCAAAGGTGGGGCCGCAGAACCCTCGTCCGAGCAGCTCAACTGAGGACCAACGTCCAGGTTTTAGCGTCGGCACCTTGACCGCTTCCTGGCGTCGAGGAGATGGGGTGGATCACAGTTACGACGCATGGAAAAGCCTGTCCGTCTTCGGGGTTAAAAAGACTAGGAAAGAAGAAGGGCTGCATTAATGGCACGCGTTTATTTTCGCAGGGGCCCAAGCCATTTGCGGTATAATTTAGAAAGATTAGCGGGGACCTGGTGGTAAATAACACTCCTAAAATAGCGAGAGTCCCGCGGAGCCTTCCCTGCTCGTTAAAATTCAGTGTTGGGAGCAGCAGGGGGTGGGCAGCTCCTGCAACAATTTCCCAGCGTCCTGCGGTGGAAGCAGACAATTCCTGTCACAGAGGCCGGCCTGCCCCGGCCGGGTTGTCAGTCATCTGCCCGCAGCACCTGTTTTGCATGAACGGCCTCAGGGGATCTGAACAGAGTCCTCTGGACAGTTTCTGGAACAGGCCTTGCCTCCCGGGGGCAGAAAGAGCGTAGCTGCCCCTCCCCGCCCCGGGGCACCGCCTCCCGTGGCCAAGGGCTGACCGTCTTTTTCCTGAGGGAAGTCCGTTCGTCAGCATCTGTAAAGTTATACATATGTGGTATAAAGTGGGAAAAAACCCACATTTTTGCATTGGGGCAAAAGACTAAGGAAATTGTTGCCCCCCCTTCCACGTGCTTTTTCCTGAGGGGCAGTAAATGTGCCATTTCCCCAGGTGACACTCTCACAGGGAAGGGGAGGGGAAGGGAAGGAGGAGTGAGTCAGGCATCCGAGGACCATGCAATAGTATTTTCCGAGAAGCACCTTGGAGAGCTGGGCCAAACGTTTAGCGTCGGGCCCTTTTCGTGAAAACCAAACAGCTCTTTCAACAATACAGGGCTTAACCAGCTGGTTAACTGTCAGACTCTGTGTCATCGCAGCTTAAGACGCTGTATCCGGGGGAAGCCTTTCATGTGTCTGCAAGAGAGGAAATGACCACAGGGTTCAGGGCGGCTATTTTTGCCTTGGATTTGACCAACCAATGGGGAGGGGGGCAGGGAGGCCCTGGAGATGGGCGTCGGGGTCAGGGGCCTACGTCCAAATCCCTTTGCCTTTTCCTGTGTGTGTCACCTGTCACTGTATTTTTCCAAACCTCAGGTGATAAAGGTGATAGCACCCGCCTCATAGGCTGTCAGAAGGGTATCCTGCCAATACCAAACCAACCTGATCACTTTAAGTTAGTAGTAAATGATAAAATGAGAGTATAATCCCTCAAACTTTGTGTTTTTTTGTCATTTCTAAAAATACTTTTTTTAATTTTCAGTTACAGTTGGTATAAAATATTATATCAGTTTCAGGTGTACTACCCAGCGGTCAGACATCCATATAACTTATGAAGTGACCGCCCTGATAGACCTAGTGCCCATCTGACACCACAGGCAGTCGTTACAATATTATCGGCCGTACTTCTTACATCCCCGTGACTGACGACCGATCTGTACTTCTCAATTCCTTCGCCTTTTATCCCCACCCCACCCACCCCCTCCCACGTGGCAACCGTCAAAATATTACCTGTCTGTGGGTCTGTTTCTGTTCTGCTTGTTCCTTTGTCTCGTGGCTTAGATCCCACATGTAAGTGGAATCCTGTGGTGTTTGTCTTTCTCTGTCTCACCTATTTCACTCAGCACAATACCCTCTCGGCTAATCCTTGCTTTTGCAGATGGCAAGGCTTCGTTCATTTTTATGGCTGAGGCATATCCCGTGTGAACATGCACCACTTCTTCATCCCTCCTCTGTCGGGGGGCTGGCGGGTTGCTTCCATATCTGGGCTGTAATAAACAAGCTGCAGTGAACATATGGATGATACATGTGTATTTATTTTCATATATATTTTAAATATGTCTTTATTGATTTCAGAGAGAGGAAGGGAGGAGGAGAGAGAAACATCAATGATAAGAGTCATTGATCAGCTGCTTCCTGCAGGCGCCCGACTGGGGATCGAGCCCAGAACCCGGGCCTGTGTCCTGACCGGGAATCGAACCGGGATCTCCGGGATCCTAGGTCGGCGCTCAACCGTTGAGCCACCCCTGGCCGGGCTATTACTCATATTTTTGGTATTTTTTCCTTCTTAAAAAAGACCCTTTAACATTTCCTGTAACACCGGGGGTGATGAGCTCCTGTAGCCTTTCTTGTCGGGGAAGCTCTTTTTCTGTCCCTTGCTTCCCGGTGGCTCCTTTAACCTCCATTCAGCGAGATGCCGGGCGGTTCTGAGGGGGGGTCGTTCCAAAGTCCGGTTGAAATTTTGATGTGGTCCCGGGAGGGCTTGAGCACCGCGTCCACCTGTGCCGCCTCCTTAAGCAGAACTTTGGTTTTGATCATTTTGATTCTACTTTTCCTGGTTATTTTTTATTTCCACATACACTTTAACGTCCCTTGAAAAATGCTGTACAAAGACCTGCTGAGACACTGATTGGAATCATTTCAAATCTACAGACCTGTTTGGAGATCAGTGACCTCATAGAACTATTGAGTTTTCTGGTGCGTGGACGTGGTATATTTCTCATTAACCCACTGTAGATTTTAGGGTCCAGACCCTATTTTAGATCCTTTGTGCTCCTCCGTGATTAAAGGTTAAGAAACGGAGAAGATACCAGCAAAAGGACCTGAAAAGGAGACGCCAGTGAGAGAGAAAAAACCCAGGAGCCGAGGGGAGGCGGCGTTTAAGGGGGGCAATTAACTCAGTTAAATGCTCCTAATAGGCCAAGTCGAATGAGGACTGAGGGTGCAGCACTGAGCTTCTCGGGGGGAATTCAGCCTTAGCCATGGAAAGAGAAGCGAACACGGGACAAGTGGGGACAGACATGAGTCCAACTGAGTTCGAGACAGAGTGAGGGAGGGTGCAGGCGATTCTCGCAACGTGTTTGCTTACAAAGACGCAGCAGGCGGAGCAGGAGCGGGAGGAAGGTGTGATGGCGGAGACATTAATATATATATTTTTAATTTCAGAGAGAGGAAGGGAGAGGGGGAGAGAGAAACATCCATGATGAGAGAGAACCACCGATCGGCGGCCTCCTGCAGGCCCCCTTCTGGGGATCGAGCCCGAAGCCCCGCAACCCGGGCATGTGCCCTGACCCCGGGCTGCGCTGTGATGGTTTTTCTCAGACTTCTGCGGGGAAATTCACCATGTTGGTATTTTTATGAATAAATTATAGCTTGGCTTCAAAGAGGGAGAGAAACCCTTCAGTTAAATATTTAGAGGTTCAAGTAAGACAAACATCCCTCCTATAACCTAACGCATCTGGTTTACGGATTAATTCTTGAATTGGAGGGAGGAAGGTTTTAGCCCGTTTCGAGTTAACTAGTGTCAAGAAGCATCGACTCCTCCCTGGGTGAAACCCCCCGAGGACGCGGGGGGGCCGATGGGGAAACGCGGTGCGTGGCTGTGGCCTCACAAGGAGCCATCAGACCAACCACCGGTGCTCAGCAAACGCAGCCGCGGGAAACCCCCGGCTCATCGATACAGCAAACTGAGCCCTGACCACGTCTCCTGACTTGTCCACGTTTCACGGGAGGGTCTCACTTCCCAGGACCGTGTGCTCTAGGTGCTGAGCGCAATTTCTTTTCATTGCACCGTGAAGTTATGTTTACGCGAGTCTTCTATTGGAGCGGCGTTTGGACGGGCCCCTGCCTGTGGGCAGCCGGGACCGTTCCTGGTTCTTAGCTTTTATTCAACATGCAGTTCGTCTCTTCCAAAACAGCGACAAGACCCAGACATACTGAAAAGTTTGGCTGGGCTGGTGTTTACCCCCAGCAGCATCAGTGTTTTCCAGAGCTGTCTGCAGACACACACGCCCGCCCGGGGCCTCCGGAGACAGGAGCAGTACCTGGGCCGAGCGCCACCCGCCGGGGCTCGCTGGGCTCTGCTCCCTCCTTCACTTAGCTGCCCCCGGAGCCCTGGGCGCCTGTCTTACACCGTGATGGAGACGGGCAGTGCCTGGGGTCCCCGGCTGGCGCCCCCCTTCCTCTCTCCCCACGAGCAGCTGAGTTGCTGGCGTCTCCAGAAAGCTCATATCTGAGTCCCGTGGAATCAGCGTGGACCCTTGACCGGCTTACTCGCTGCCTGCGAATGAAAACGCAGCGAGACGGGAGCCAGACCGAAATGCCCCCTTCCTGCCGCAGCCTAAGAAGTCCTTAGCTGACCCAGTTTTCAATAGAGAGATTTTTCTGATGACCCCACAGAAGCGCCGGGCTCCAGTCAGCGAGGGGAGGGGAGTCGGATCGTTCCTGCCACTGGGAAGGCAGCCGCTCCCGGCCCTGCCCGGCTCGGGGAGGATGCTGGAGCCCGGCCGGCGCCTGGGCGCAGGGAGGATTTTCCCTCTAGCTCTTCCCCACGGGAGCCCCGCACGTGCGCCCCCCGAGCCCATTGTCCGGGTGCCGGCAGGAATGCGGCGGGAGGGGAGCCTGCTTGGCGCTTGAGACCGGGGCAGAGCGACGCAGCGCTCGGCGGATCCGGCCGCGGTCCCGCGGGGAGCCAGTCCCATTATCTCCGGGCTGCGGGAGGCTCCACGCGGCGCCTTCTGCCTGGAGGCTCCGTTCCGCACGCCCGGCTGAGCGGGAGACCCGGCTCCGCAGAGGACTCGTCAGCATCAGCGTCCGGGGACGCGTCCCGGGGGGCTCTGTAAGTACAAAAGCCTGCCGTTTGCTGCAGTGGCGGGA